TCTGTGGAAGAAGTATACTAAAACACATCATGATTTTTGCAAAATATAATAAAGGCAGGCAATTTTTTTTATCTGATTAAAAAATATCCTTCCTCCCCTAGTCATTTACAACAAAACAACCTATCAAAAAAAATCAGTGTTTTTCAGGATTTTTCTGCTGTTCTATTTTCATTGGGGTGAAAAGGCAGAGGAGGTTTCACAAAGCATTCTTTGATTTGTCTCCCACTTAATGCTTTTCATTCTCCTGAAAAAGACATACCGAAAACATTCCATTCTTTCAATATAGACATCCTGAAAGCATTCAAAAGTCACTCGAAATTTTTTTCAAAAGCCACAGAAACCAACTATTCCTTGGATTTTTTTTCTCTTTTATGAGTCAAAAAACATTGTTCACAGCTTGCCCTGAGGTTTCTGTTAATGTTTGTTAGAATGAGGTGTTCTGATTAGAGTTCCTCTGTTCTTTTACAATGGCAGACTGCTGCAGATGAATTTTCCTCAACTCATATATTTTCAAAGACATAGAATTGCTTCCAATAAACAGGAAGTAAAAAATATTTTCTAGAAACTTCGACCCCCCAATCTTTTAAATTCTTATCTAAAATTTAAGTGAATATTTTATTTTTTTAAAGATTTTTTATTTATTTATATGGCAGACAGAGATCACAAGCAGGCAGAGAGGCAGGCAGAGAGAGAGGAGGAAGCAAGCCCCTGCTGAGCAGAGAGCCCAATGCGGGGCTTGATTGCAGGACACTGGGATCGTGACCTGGGCTGAAGGCAGAGGCTTTAACCCACTGAGCCACCCAGGCGCCCCTAAGTGAATATTATTTTAATTGTTCTAATTTCTTTCAGTTACTGAGATAACTTCTTAAGAAATTAAACTTTTTCTCAGTTTCAAGCATAATGTATACTTGATCGACCCTCAACAATATGAACCTTTTCTATAGAAGATGAAATACTGTAATTATTTGTCTTTCCACTAGCATTAGCAATACTTATTAATTAGTAGCCTTCTCCAGTCTTCCCCATCTCTCTCTTCCTTTTTCTTAGTCTTTACTATACAACTCCCCATTCAAATGTGTTTAAGTCTTTTAAAAGGAGGTTGTTGATCTGTTTTCTAAAACAAAAACAAAAATGATCCCCTCTTATTACAAATATGTTTTGACTTTTTTTCAGAAACTCCATGGATCATAAAAAGTGTACATCATGTACATGGAATATACAGATTAACATAGGAGTTAAACAAAAAAAAGTTACTGATAAAATAAGAAAAATATAAGCTCTTTTCCATAACATAAAAATCCCACCACACAGAAAAGAATTTCTATCAAAATTCCTATTTTTCTATCATTTTTCATATGTAAAATTGAATGGAAGTCATCATTAAAGATATTCAGTAATCAAAGTGATCTGCAATATAATATTGGTAGTGTATGTAAAAAATGACTATAAAAGTAAAATGAAATATAACATAGTAGGATAACTATAATGACATCCTTAGCTACTGTTGGAAAACCTAAGTTTAGTAAAACTTTAAAAAGAGGGGAAGTGCATCCTTAAAGATAAATATAAATTATTAAAATCAGTTTTATGAAAATGGAGTAGTAATTGATAATCACATCAATTCTTTTGTCTCAATATTAATGGTTTACATAGAAACAGATATAAAGAAAAGTTTCTCAGAAAGATGGAATTGTTCATTGTTCTGGTGGATATGTAAAAACAATGCTGACTCAAAAGCAGCCAAGTGGACAGCTGCAGATGCTGTACCCAATGGAAATACTAAGCAGGCATAGCACAAATCAATAATTAACAAAGCAGATGTACAAAGCTTGATGAAGATGAATAATTGCATAGGCAGGAATGGTAAAAGGAGCTGATAACAGTATGAGTTTTGTAAGAAATTAGATAAACGCTTTGTATTCACAAATTTGTTAACAAGAGTACTTCAATGCCTAATACACAAAGAATACACATCTTTTCAAAACGCTTTGATTAAATTGATATGCACCTTTAATAACACTTATCACTAAAGATTATTTAGAAATCAAAATTAGGGACACCTGGGTGGCTCAGTGGGTTAAAGCCTCCGCCTTCAGCTCAGGTCATGATCTTTTTTTTTCTTTAAAAAAAGAAATCAAAATTATCCACAAGGAAATATTGGTAGAGTGACCATAAAAACAATTTTTTTAAAACATTTTTATTTATTTATTTGGCAGACAGAGATCACAAGTAGGCAGAGAGGCAGGCAGAGAGAGAGAGGGAGAAGCAGACTCCCCGCTGAGCAGAGAGCCTGATGCGGGGCTCGATCCCAGGGTCCTGGGATTGAGCCCCACATCGGGCTCTCTGCTCAGCGGGAAGCCTGCTTCCTCCCTCTCTCTCTGCCTGCTTCTCTACCTACTTGTGATCTCTGTCAAAAAAATAAAATCTTAAAAAAAAAAAAGAATGAAATAATGTACTAGATGCATCTAACTACAGGGGTGCCAAATTGTTTATTTTTGGAATTCTTAAGTTTAATGGTCTGTTGAGGGAGGTAAACATTTAGGGCACATCCTTTTCTAAATTTAGTGTGTATGTGTGTATAAACCCTTTCCTAACTAGTCAGTAAGTTTCTTGAGGATAAGTATCATGTTTTATAATGTACTCTAAAAGTACTAAGCCCAATACCTTATATGCAAGTACATACATTTTGATTTCTTCAGAATATAATGAAAATGGACAGTATGATTAAGTATGCTTTAGTAAAAACATTCAAAGTAAATTCTTTATATAAATGCTAAATATATGACTTATAAACATCTTTTAGGAGTCTTTTTTTGAGAAATAACAATTCTTAAATTGCAATGACTTTAAAAATTAGAAATTTGGAGTGGTAATAGTATAAAATAATATAAAAATTGCATTTTTATAGCAAACTTGGAAAGCAGGTTTCAGAGTTTTAGTTACATAAGGAAGATAGATATATATTCATTTATAGCCTTTTATTTTCCGTGGGACATATGTTGCAGGAATAACTGCCCTTATGAATGCAAAGATTCATTGCTCAAAACTATCAAGCGCTCTAACCTGAAGATTCTTTACATCCCATTTTATATCATTCTATTTTCTTTGAGTTCTCATTGAAAATGCATACTTTCTATTGTCTACTTATTCATTAATTTACAAATATTTATTGAGTACCTACTATGTGCCAGGCACTATTATAGATGTTGGGATATAGCAGTGAACAAGCAAAAATCACTTCACTTATGGAAGTTTTATTTGAAGGCTGGAGACTATCAAGATAAATCAGTAAAATATTTGATTAAATTAGTGTTCAGTACTAAGGGGAAAAATGAAACAGAGAAGTAGGGTAGGAGATCTGAGAAAGAAGTAGAATTTTAAATTGAATGGCCAGGAAAGGCCTCCCTGAGAAGTGATGTTTGGATCAAGTCCTGAAAGAGGTGAAGGAGCTAGTCCTTTGGCTGTCTGGGGGAAGAGCATTCCAGGTTGCTGGAATCCTAAGTTACAAAGGCCTTGAGGTGAAACAGTGTTTGACATTGTTCAGAAATATCAAGGAGACCAATGTGTTTGGAAGAGACCAGGGCAGAGAGTGGGGAGAAATGACATCAAAGGGATGACAGGAGACTAGGTCATAAAGGATGTCATAGGTAAGAATGGAAGCCATTGAAGTGTTTTGCACTGAAGAGTGACATCTGATTTTTCAACAGGATCACACTGGCCACTGAATTTTGAGAATAAATTTAAGAAGGCAAGGGTGGAAATATGGAGATCATTTAGGCTATAGCTATAATCCAACAAGAGATGGTGGCTAGAAATAGAATGGTGGCAGTAATGATACGAGAAGTGGCTGGATTCTGGATATATTTTGAAGATAGTATTCACAGGCGTTTGAGACAGAATATGATGTAAGGTCATCTACTATTTGTGATAGTTAAATTTCCACTGTTCCCTCCTAACTGATCAAAAAGTTACAAATCCTCACACATTTTGTCATTCTTAGATTATAATGTTAACATAACTTTTGTTCCTGAGTTTGAAAACATATTTCAGTGATTTCTGTGTCCTGTCTCATCCTTGAGGAAGGGTAAAGAGAAAATGTGGCCAAGACATTTGACAGTGCCAACACCATCTTATGAGCTCATCCTAAACTGTAAGCTCGGGAGACTTAGTTCATTTACCTTATGTCCTCCAGGCTCGTCTTAGAACCTTGCACATATCAGGCTCTAAAAATATGTTTAATGGTATAGTCCCTATACCTATATTTTCCTTGGAATAACAAACTAAAAACAACATCCAGCGGTATCAGTTGCACAATCATAAATTAAAATGCGTATTTTAGTGGCGCCTGGGTGGATCCCTCCGCTAAGCGCTAGCCTTCTGCTCAGCTCAGGTCATGATCCCAGAGTTCTGGATGAAGCCTGCCTGGGGCTCTCTGCTCACAGGGGAGCTGGCTTCTCCCTCTCATTCTTCCTCAATGCGCTCTCTCGCTCTCTCTCAAATAAATAAAATCTTAAAAAAAATACAATTTTGTTTTAGTATTAAGGCTATTAAGCTGTAATACTCAATTGATAAATGTATTCCAGTTTCCTCAAATAATGAAGATGCTATTAACACCTTTCAACCTAAAGTTGTTTTAGTTTTCCTAACCTTTTAACCAAAGGGTGGAGGAGATTGGTTTTGCAATTCACAGCGGGAGCTGTCCTGTCACACTCTCTCTTGTGAAGCTGCTGCAGTGTTAAATCCTCGAATACCGTACAGAGGTCTATAGAAATTAAATCGACAAAATGCGGGTTTCCAGAGGCGGAAGACCCAAGCCTCTCCCTGGGCCCAGCCCACACAGACCCCTGAGGCACGGGCCTGCACTGTGCACGCCGGGAGTTGTAGTTTTCCCTTCCTTCTCTCACTTCCTTTCGACTCCGGCCGCCAGCGCGCTAGCGCCCCAAGCGGTGCGCAGGCTCAGCGAAGGGCGGCTCACGCGAACGGCGAGGAGCGTTTCCTAGCAACGGGGGCGCGGCAACGTCACGGCAGCCGGTTCTCAACGCAGCTGCCCACTGTAGAGCCGCTGTGTGTACCTTCCGGCACCTGCGGGCTGGAGGGAGCGCTTTCCACAGCCGTGTCCGAACGTTCTTCGTCTGTCCTTATCCGCTTTATCCTGCCTCAAGTCGCGGAGAGCAGCCTCCCGCCGCGACCCACCTCTGAGGCCCGGGCCAGAAGCTAGAGGCGGTCTGTCCGGTTCCCGCTGGTCCTCGACCCCCGTGCCCGTGGAGCCAGCCAGCCGCCCGCGGCCTCGGCGGGACGATGCTGGAGTCCATTCGCGTGACGGGTGAGTGCTGAGAAGGTCTGGCCCCTGGGCTGGCAGGGGTGGCCAGCGTCCTCCGAGCCGGTGGCGGCGGGTGTGGGGCGACGAGGGGCCCCCACCGCCCGGAGGCCGAGGTAACGGTAGGATGTGGGCTCCGCGCGGGGCACGGGCGCTCAGCCCGGCGACAGGAACAGTGCACGGCGCGGTGGAGGCGCTCGGGGAAAATGCGCGGAGGGAAGACAGGAAAAAGGTCCCCTTTCCTTTTGTCGCTTTTTATCAGTAAGCGCGTGCCATGGAATCTAGGGAAATAAATTATGATATACACATTACTGGCCCTACAAATGTGCTGTCTAAATATTTGAAAGTGTATTAGGTATTATAGGGTATTGGCGTCTAATTTTCTAGAATGTTCAGAAAAATCAGAGCTAAGCAAAAGATCACATTCCTGTGAGTGTTTGCAGTGTTTCCCTCTATGCTTAAGTCACTGAGAACGTTTTGAGTTGGTATTAGTAGTAGTCGCTATAGAGTGTATATTATACCAACCTGAAGAAATGGGTGTTCAGATCCCAGGTTAGAAAGTTTACTTGCCTTTTATTAAAAAAAAGAAAAAAATGGATGGATGTTAACCAACCATTTAAATATTATCTTACGTATGAGAAGGCTTTTCTTGGCCATTATCCTGGCATTTATTCCTGTATCAACATTTCTGCAAGACTGGGTTCATGGTAGTCCAGTATCATGACGAAAAACAACAGAGTAAAGGGAAATGCCTAATCCTCAAGCTAGTGTCAAAAAAAAAGGCCGGAATTTTTTACTATCAGGTATTGCACTGCCAAACAGACCATTTTTTCCTATAAGTTTTTAAATACGAAACTGAATTCTTTTCCAATGAAAATACTTGTGATCTTAATTTTATGGTGTTTTATGTCCTGCTCGGTTTTTTAGAATAGGGAGCTGATCTTGTACTTTAATCTCATCCTTATTTATGTTGATAGGAAGCACAAGATCTAAAATCTAAGAAGCAACTTAAATTAGCATTAGAGTTTTTTAAAATGTAATTTGATGTAGACACTATTTTTCATCTTAAATTACAATAAAAAATTTGAAATGTACTTAAAAATACCATACCTTCTTTTCGTTTTGGAGCAGGGTCTCTCAGCTTTGGCTCTATTAACATTGAATTAATGGGTAATCCTTTGCTGTGGAGGACTGTCCTGTGCATTGTGGAATGTTTAACAGTATCCCTGGTCTCTACTCATTAGATGCCAGTAGCAAGCCCCCCACCCCACACACAGTTGTGACAACCAAAAATGTCACCAGACATTGTCAAGTGTTCCCTAGATGGCAAAATTACTTCCCTCCCCATTTGAAAACCACTGCCTTGGAGAAAGATATAGTTTGATTCCGTCAAAGTGAAGGTTTTTAGGCAACGGTTTAGAAATAATATCAATTAAAATAATTTTCTCAAAACCAATCATTGTAGAAAGAGAATACGGTTATGATAATAATAGTATTAGAAAGTGGGTATTCTGACCAACCAGCAGCAAAAGAAAGTGGATCTCCTCCTTTTCAGTAGGTGGAGTTGGAAGTTTAAGGAGAGGTGCTTTATGAAATAGTAGACTCTTTCCTCTTGTCTCAACTCCATTTCTGTAATTTAGCGACAAAAATCAACTCTGCATGTTGCATACCCTCAGATAATTTCGCAGTGAGTTTCTATAGTTCAGTAAGAGTTAAAACCGCCATGGAGGCATTTAGAAATAAAGTTAATATTTTAATATAAATATAATATTTAATATATATATAATATAATTAAAAGTAATTGGTCAGGTGGTTTTTCAAAATACTTTATTTCTTTTTTATAGTACTTAACTAGATAAATGAAGTTTCAGAACTGTATGACAAGCAGTTTCACTAATATACTAGAAAGCCCAATTTGGACAGCTAGAAAATTTATGAAGAGAATATAGCTGAAAACATGCCCCCCTTTTCCCTTGCTATCCTCTCACTACTCCTTGATACCTAAGAAGCCCATGTTCTTCTGGTGGTTTCTAATCTCAGGAGTGAAGCAATTAAATATTTCTGAAATCTCTTCCTGTATAATATCTTTTGACTTGTTAGTCACAATTTCATATAATCTAAATATAATGTCCTAGTAGAACTGCTGACTGGGGAAGTAAAATAAGATGTCTATGCTATGTGTGCTGTTTGAAATGGAATCAAATCAGAAAAGTTTTTGTTTGCCTTCTCATACCTTTTTAAAGATCGTTTATTATACTAAAGCCACTAAAATGTTGATACTAGAATGTAGAAGTAATTGCTTACTGTTAAATTTACCTTGGAACTCCAAATATAAAGATTCTAAATATTTTCCCATTTATATTATTCTATGGAGTATTTCTGTAGGAGCTGAATATAATATTGAATATAACCATACTGGTAGTTAACACAGGCTGCTTACTACAGCTGGCACTGTTCTTAGCACTTCACGTATATTAACATTTTCAATCTTCACACCAGTACTATGAAATATGTAGTAGTATTACCCTGTTTACGGGTAAGGAACCTACAGCGCAAAGAAGTTAACTTGGTCAAGGTCAAAGCTACTGATAAACAGCCATTCCAAAGATCATTTTTTCAACCACTAGGAAAGGCAGAACACTATTACAGGGTTGCTTGGGTGGCTCAGTGGAGTTGCGCATCTGTCTCTCTGCTCAGCAGGGGGCCTGCTTTTCCCCTCTCCCTCCGCCTGCCTCTCTCCCTACTTGTGATCTCTCTCTCTCTCTGTCAAATAAATAAATAAAATCTTTTAAAAAACCCACGCTATTACAATGACTATACGTTGATTTAAGCCACAAAGTTCAACGTGAAAATCTCATTTAACATCAGTGGTATATTATCTGATAGTTTACTCAGGTGTTGTTTTTTAGGTTTTTATCACAAGCAAGCTGTAAATAAGTTTTGTCTGGAAAAATCATACTTGATTATAAAATTTTCAAGATAGAAGACATCTAGCTCATTTAGTGAGTAACAGAAAGCTGTCAGAAACCATATTGATTGTTATTTTTTTATTTCCTACTGCCCATATTTTGTATGACATGTAAGTGATAAGAAATGATTAATGAGTCATCTAGAAATGAAGAGCCTTTGTAACAAAAGTGAATGTTTAAAAAATGCTGGAGACAAAAGTCATCTTAAGGCCACTGTTTTGGCATATGGGATGAATACACTTAGGCCCATAGCTCCTGTTTGTATTATAGCAGTAGGCACCTGACGTTAAAACTTGTCTGCAATACCACTATTTCATTTTTTTTTTTAGATTTTTTTTTTAATTTCTTTGACAGAGACAGATCACAAGTAGGCAGAGAGAAAAGCAGAGAGAGGAGGAAGCAGGCTCCCTGCTGAGCAGAGAGCCCAATGTGGGACTCGATCCCAGGACCCTGAGATCATGACCTGAGCCGAAGGCAGAGGCTTTAACCCACTGAGCCACCCAGGCGCCCAACTATTTCATTTTTTTTTATGCCATCTTGGTATGATTCTTTTTCTTAACCTTCAGTCATTCAAATCCTGTATCCTTTCCTTCCTCTCAAATATTATCTTCTCCTGGCTACCTCTCTGGCCATCCTTTCATAAACAAGGCAGGGAGCGAGCAAGAACAAACAGGTGTATGCCATAAGGAGACTTAGAATTTCAGTATGGAAGAGGCCATCATACAAACAAACGTAAAACTGCTACTGTGACAAGTGCTTCAAAGAACCTTCCAGGGAAGGTTATCACTGAACAAGTGTTATTTCAATTCAAGGGAGAGTGAAAATTAATCTAACATAGGGGAGGAAGGGCTCTCCAAACATAGGAGACAGTGTGTGAAGAGGTGGTGTGTCTGGAGAGAGAATGGATGAGTGTGAGGGATTGACAGAACGAAAGGAAGCTACTAGAGTGGACTAATTAAGGGGAACTTGGTGCAAAGAGGCCAGAGAGGCAGAGTGACCTGACCACAAATGACTTCTTATGCCATGGTTAGGAGTTTTGTCTTCATCTTGGGTGGAAAGCCATGGGGAAGTTTGTTTTCTGGCATGTTTAACGTTACTTCAGATGGTGTTTAAAGTGGTGTGTTTTACCACAATCATCATTTTCTGGCATTATAGAATACCCTGCATATTTCTAACTGTAAAATAACACAACACTTTGTGAGCAAAAAATGATAGCATCACATTATAAAGAATCGTTACTAGTTGAGTAACACTGAAGTGCTTCTAACTGGGAGTGTGATATTTTTGGGAATCCGGAGGTAAAGTTGACTTTCTTGGTTCCTGAATGACATGAGCAGTGCCTTTTCATCTCTCTCTCTCTCTCTCTTTTTAACTTATGATTGAGAAACTATATTGGGTTCTGTTGAATTTAGAGATACTAAAATTAGTGGGTTATCTGTTATAATACAAATTGGGCAGTAAATATGTTTCCAGAGATTCTGATTTTTTCATATACCGTGTAAATGATTAAGGTGTAACTCAGATATATTGAAGTTCACAAGTCTTAAATGTGTAGCGCAGTGAATCTGTACATATGTAACCACTGCCTAGATGAAAATGTAGAACATTTCTAGCACCTAGTACCCTGGTGCCTTTTCCTAGGTTATAACCCATCCCTCAGTGGTAACCACTGTTCTGATTTCTAATACCATAAATGAGTTTTGCCTGTTTTTGAACTGCATAAAAATGTAATTGTACAGTATGTACTCTTTTGATCTGGCTTCTCTGGCACAGTACTGTCTGTGAGATTCATCTGCATTGTTGCTTGCAACCTCAGCTGCTGCTGCAGTGCAATAGAGTAATCTGGTATATAAGTCACCACAGTTCTTTTTTTTCTGCTGTTGGTGTTCTATCATTTGAGTTTTAAGTGATGAAGAAGTACTTGATAAAATTAAAGTGTTAATTTTGTCCAGGGACTATACTGTTTTGTTTTGCCTTTTCTTCTATTTGTAATCAAGCAACCTATGGTCTTGTTACATAGAATTAGGCCAGGCTCTC